CAAGGGGTAGAGGGATAGGGGTGGTCGCGTCAATTCCGCGCTTTCTGTCACAGGATCGTTCGGAAAATGGACGAAACACGAAGCAACCCTCGTAACATTATCGCTTTGTTCTACACCGGGACGATTTTGTCCGAATTCTCTTTTTCTTTCTTTTTTTCTGTTTTTTTTTCTGTTTTTTTTTTTTTCTTTTTTTATTTCTTGCTTTTCGTTTTGATTTTTGTTACTTTTTTTTTCTGTTTTGTTTCTTCTTCTTTCGTTCTCTTTTTCTTTCGTTGCTTCTTCCTTTTTCCTCCCAATTTTTCCTCGAGAGAATTGTGCCGGGATCGAACGATTGAACGATCGATTGATCCAAAAGATTTGCGTTTTTCGTCGAGGAGATGGCTCTTTGTGATAGTTGTATGGATTTAAAGTGCATTGAAAGAGAGAGAGAAAGAGAGAGAGAGAAAGAGAGAGAGAGAAAGAGAGAGAGAGAAATCGTCTTTTTTTTCGATGGAATAGATTAAACTTTGTTCTCTATTTCTATCTCTTTCTACCTTTTTGTCTCTCTAACCATTTCTGTCTTTGTCTTTCTCTGTATTTCTTTCAGTATTCCGAGTATCCTTAATATTTAATTCATAGCTTAAAATATTCTTTCCTCTACATTGTATACAAAATAAATATTGTATTTCAAACAAATAAACAAATCCGTATACAAGCACATATACAAGCACGAATATATATATATATATATATATATATATATATATATATATATATATATAATATATATACGTATATATGTTAAGCCAAAAATTGAAATTTGGGGTATGTATTAGAAACATATAATTATTTTACTTCAATCAAATAAACTCATATGTATGTACTCATATGCATATGTATGTATATGGGTAGGCAAACACACACTTTATCGAATTTCGACGAATATTGTACATTGTGACCTAATTATGGCCGAAACAGATTTGTGGTTAATGTCAAATAAATTTCATTTGTCGAAGGCATTTTTCATATTGATTAATTCTTTCTCTTCCTCTCTCTTTCTCTCTTTCTCTCTCTCTCTCTCTCTCTCTCTTTTTCTCTCTTTCCGTGTCTATTTCTTTTTATTTAATCGACTTTAACATCGTAAAGGGTATAAGTCTGTTCGAATTAAAAATTTGAAGTAAGAAGAAAAGAAAAGAAGTATTCTCTCTGCCTCCTTTTTGTTTTATTCTTTTTTCACAAGAATTTTCACGATCCCTATTTTCATCATGCCGCGTCGCTAAGTTTCATATGGAATAAAGCTTTGGTTACGTTTGTTTGCGAAATGTCATTTTATTGTCATTTTATTATTGTTAGTTGGAGAAAGAGAGAAGAGAAGAGAGATGAGAGAGAGAGAGAGAGATAGAGAGAGAGAGAGAGAGAGCTAACATTCGTGTTTTATGGTCGTGAATTATTACCCTTCTCGTGAGAGAATTTAGAGCTTTTCTCTCTCTCTCTCTCTCTCTTTCTCTCTCTCTCTCTCTTCCTCTCTCTCTCTCTTTCATATGTATTTTTTTATTTCTTTTGTTTTGTTTTGTCTTTTTTTTTTTTAGTATAAGCTGTTACTGTTTTTCGATAAACTCGCTAAGCGACGAGGAATCATTCGTTTTATCGTTCGCAATTAAATTTTCTTTTTTTCCTGTTGCAATCGTCGTAATCCAATGACCATAAGAATTTGTCGATATCATTTCAAATGATGAAATAAATTTAGATTAATTTTCAAAATGTCATCTCACATAATCTTTAGAAGAATTCAACGTATAACCTAGAATTTAGAATTGAGAAGGATTTTTTTTTTCTTTTTTTGTATAAATCGCATTGAAATATCTTGAAAAAAATTTTTTAATGAGAAACTTCAGAATCTACGATAATAAATATGTGCCGTAAGTCTCGTTAAGAAATAATTTCTAGGTCGATTAGATTAATTAAAATGGTTAAGTCAAACATGCAAAATTATATTGTCGAATTTAATAAGATCGATCAGAACGTTATTCAATTAATCAATCATTTGTCAAGGCTTGATACAGATTTCTAATGAAAATTCATAATAGAAGCAGTAAATCAATTAACTAGGCCTAAATTATCTAAGTTTGAATAGCAATCGATTTTCAGAAAAGGGATCGTTTCCGCGATTATGGGTTTGGTCGGTGTTCACTCAATAAGCCCCAGCAAATTCAACGATACGGCCATTATTAGCCGTGGGCTTTCCGCTTAGTAGTTATTAATCGGCGTCGGTTCTACGAACTTGTATGTAAAGTATAGAGTACAAAGAAATGCGTACGAGGAATTAGAGTATTTCCTTATCTTTCTTCGTGATTAAATGAAAAAGGAGCTTTGTCAATTTTATTTTCTCGTAGAAATCAATAAATCTACTATTGGTTCATTCTAATGTATTCAGAACGTATCAATTTTGCAAAACGAAACATTACCATCGTCTTTATTCATTCGTGTATTTGCATTTACGTTCGATCGTTTAGAGATTCTTTGACGAAAATGAATACGATTAATCCGATTGTTTGGGAACGTTCGAAAAAAAAGGATTAAAACGAATTAAGAGAAAGAAAATATTGTGAGATAGAAGAGGAAGAAAAAGAAAAAGAAAAGGAAGAAGAATCGAACGAAATTCTAATGTCTTTATTTAAACGAATTGTCTATGAAAATTGTCTGTGATAAATAAAAGTAAGAGAACAGATTCTGGCCGATTATAATTTTCCGTGATAGGCCAACTGAGATATGTTCAACACCTGTTCATGGCTAGTTCGAAAAATCTGTCAAAGAAATAAATTTATAGCGTCGTAGAGACGTTGTTCATGCCGGTAACAGACATATCCCATCGTTCATTGTTTATTCGTGTGAGCAAATCCTGTTGTCAGGTGGACAGGACTGCTGGGTAATCTCACGTAACGATGTTACATGGTCAGCTTTCTATTATATTTTTTTTTTGTTTTGTTTTTGCCTCACCTCTCTTTTCTATCCTATTTTATCTTTTTTTTTTTTTTGCTTTCTTGTCGTTGTTTTTATTGTTGACGTCCATTGTCCGTCGTCGCCGTTGTTGTTGTTCTTGCGATCGTCATCGTAGTTGTTGTTATTGTTGCGTTCGTCGTCGTTGTTGATTTTTATTTTTCATTTTTATTTCCTCTTTTGTTGTTGTTATTGCTGTTGCTGTTGTTGTTGTTGTTGTGCTCCGCTTTTATCTATTTTTCACGTCCAACAGACGCTTCCATTCTTCGTCGAGGAGAACGCAGAGAACGTTCGGTGAGAATGTTGGATGATTCTGAGTGACAACATAAAGCAGAGAAAGAGAAGTGCTTTTGGGTAGAACCACAAACTCGTTACGAAGCACCTGTAGGAGACAGTGGGATTATTCGAAAATTGTTGGGTAAAGACACTGATGAACAGGAGGGACTTGGAGGTTGTAACAAGTTCTCTTTTCCTTGGTTGTTTCTTTTGGAATTATTTTTGGGTTTTTGTTGAACGAAGAAATAGACAAATAAAGAGAAATAAAGAGAGAAAAAGAGAGAGATAGAAAGAGAGAGAGAGAGAAAGAGAAAGAGAGAGAGAGAGAGAGAGAGAGACTATCAAAAAGTTTTAGGTGAAAGATTGGGGCTCGATCGAATAGACGAAAGATTCGTTGGAGCATCTAAACGCTTTTCAGTAAAGTGGGAGAACGATGGGTAGATGTCGTTGTTTTCTTCTACGAACTTCCGTTCAAATCGAATCATCGCAGAATTTCGTGGTAACAATCTTCTATTTGAGTTGATGCGCCCAACTGATTTCATACTGTTCGTCCTTCTTGTTGCCAACCTCGTGGGGAAAACTTCATGGTTCATCTGTAAACACGATAAATTTTCCTTTGGTAAAAGAAGATGGATGATTATATTTATTTTCAAATCAATTCTAAACATAAGCTATTGGGTTTCGATCGATCTTATAGATTTAGAAAATCATTAGTCAAACTTATCGGAAAATAGTTATGAAAATAAGATCGTTTTGCATGAGTATTATGAATATGAAGGAAAAAAGAAAAAAAGAAAGGAATGAAGAAAAGAAAAAAATAAAAAACATATGATTAATATAATAGCTGAAAGAATTGATATCATAATAATCATTATATTATTTTATTATTCTATTACAGAAAGAGAAGGAGGAAGAAAGAGAGAAAGAGAGGTCTTTCGTTTTTCTTATTACTTTTTTTTTTCCCACATCGATTTTCTTCAAGACGTACTCGTTTAACTGCTCCTGACAATACCCTTTCGTGTTTCCTACGAAACCTTTCTCCTACGATCGTCTGTCTTCGACAACGCCGAGTTTCTAACTTGGATTTATTATTCTCGGCTCCTTCGTCTAGGAGTCGTCATCGAGAAGTAGTTTTAAAGTGCAAGAGAACGTTTTGTCGATCCTTTTTCTCTCTTTTCTTCCCTCCTCTCTTCCTCTTTCTCTCTCTCTGTCTTTTTTTTTCTCTCTCTCTCTCTCTGTCTTTTTTTTTTCTCTCTCTCTCTCTCTCTCTCTATCTCTTTCTATCTCGAGCGATGCTTGTTAATCCTCCGAAAAAAGGAGCAGGTTGACTTTTTCTAGGACATTCGTCGAGAGCACATCACATTGATCTCTGCTCAATGAGACTCTCTCTCTATCTATCCATTTATCTATATATAGATAATCTACCTATCTCTCTCTCTCTATCTCTCTCTCTCTCTCTCTCTCTCTTTCTCTTTCTTTTTCACATTCCCTTCTTATATATTCGTGAATTCGGTTAAATCGAACATAGGCACATATACACATATATGCTCAGGGAACTTATGGTAATATTTGAATATTACCACGGGGAATCGATGCTATATTCTATATTACTGTTTGATGTTTTATTATCTGAATATTAATTAATGATTCTCATGAATTGATTTACAAAAAAAAAAAAGAAAAAAAGAAAATAACTTTAATTTAGAAAAAAAGTTTTAATAATTGAAATTTTCCTATATTGATTACAGAAGCAGGAAAGCGGAACGTGTTGCGACTTTGGGACTAGAAATGAGTTGAGGATTGGCTACGATGTTGAGTCGTTTGTCGGCCGTGGTGGCCTCCATTTTGGTTCACCAGGTACACTTTCTGTGCACCGCAAACTCTCAAGGTAAGCAATATCATCGCCTTTTCTATTAGATTAGAAATTTTACGATTGTAAATATTTGTTTGGTGAACATATTTTCTACTATTGTAATATAACAAATAACATGCGTGTATATACGCATATAAATTGTGAACATACAGAAAAGAGAGAGAGAGAGAGAGAGAGAGAGAGAGAGAGAGAGAGAGAGAAAGAAAGCTTCATATTTTATGGTACGATTCTTTCCTAGGGAATTTCAATGCCACGAGAAGAGTAATACGTTACACGTTGGTTAAGAAGTCGCGTTATGTTCGAATTCTTTTTGGAAAGGGGAAAAAGAAAATAAAAAAATTAAAAAAAATTAAAAAAAAAAAAAAAATAAAATGAAAAGATAAAATAAAAAAAATGAAAAGAGGAATAAAAAATATCTCATTGTGCGGTCACGAAAGATTCCAAAAAGGCAAGATTATAGGTGCTGAATAACGAGTCACAGATACTGAATGCCCCTGGCTCGACGCTCAGACATTGTCCTATAATTTTCCAATTAAGGCATTGGATTCCCATAAATTCTAGGACCTTCGACAGAATCCATAAATTCGACGTCGAGCGACAAGCCGTGTGCGCTGGTCCAATCGTACTTTTAGACTCCAGACGGCCCTTACATTACGAAGTGGAACGATGAAATCGAAGCTAGAGAGAGAGAAAGAAAGAGAGAGAGAGAGAGAGAGAGAAGGAGAAAGAGAGAAAGAGAGAGAGAAAGGAAGAAGGAAGAAGGTGGACGATGAATATCGATTAATGGCCAACGACGATCCTTTCGAGACGACGTAAAATTCTATTCTCCCTCTTTCGAAAGTAGAGAAATAATACCGACCACGTTGAGACAAATATCCAATTCTCTTGAGAAAAACATTCGATCGATTGGTTCCGCTGTTGAAAGAAAGTAGTCGATTCAGCCATTAACACCTTTTTATCGTTCAAATTTCGATCTCTTTCGTATTATTCGAAACATTTGATTTTTCTCTATAAATCTATAATAAATATGAATATTGGTTTTCAATTGAATTTCTTAATTTAATAAATTTATCTAAATATTATAATGTTATCATATTCGTCAAAAAAGAAATACACACTCATATATATATATATATATATATATATATATATATATATATATATATATACAAGAAGAAAATTAAATAGAGGAAAAATTTTCTAATAATAGTATATGTATGTTATAGAAAGATAAATATAGCGTTTAATGCTGTATAGCATGGTTAAGCCTAGTCAGAAACGTTGACACCTTTCGAAACTTAATCTCTCGTAGACGTTTCAGGAGACGTATTTCGAAATCCTGACCAGAGAGGAGAGTAACCGGATTTATTCTTCCATTGAGATTATGTGCTTCGTCTTTCCAACGGATATTAGAAGTCCGTTCGTATCGTGTACTTTTCTTGGATAGTTTCTCCTCCCTTTGCTATCGGAAGAAAATTCTGCTCGCGAGATTGGTCCTGCCAGAAAGGACGTCGGTTCTTCTCACTCGAGCTGATAAATTTCTCGAGGATTATCCCGTCGTTCTTCGGAAAATACCGGGACTCCGAAATGACTTCGAAATAGTGAAAAAGAGAGTAAGAGAGAAGAAGAGAGAAAGAAAAAGAGAAAGATAGAGAGAAAGAGAGAGAGAGAGAGAGAGAGAAAGAGAGAGAGATAAAGATATAGATAGATAAAAAAAAGGAACGCATTTGGAACAAATTCGTCGATCGTCTTAGATTCAAAGAAAATAATTTTGATGCTAGTCGTAGCTCTAAAAGAAGATTCTCAAACAAGTTGATAGTGATCATCAGCTCAGAAATGAAAAAGGAGTAAGGTATTCGCGGGAACCGCGAGTCATCAAATTTGATCGAGAGATATTGAACTCTTTTTTTTCTTCTTTCTCTTTCTCTCTCTCTCTCTCTCTCTCTCTCTCTCTCTGTGTGTGTGTGTATATATATGTGTTCTTCGAATTCTCTAGCTTTTTCTTCTTTTCTTCTTTTCTTTTTTTTCTTCTCTTTCTTCCTTTTATTTTCTCTATCCACTCTCTGTCTCACCTAAACCGTCCAAAGATTCTGACTTTATAGGGGAAACGAGATTGCTCTCTCTCTCTCTCTCTCTCTCTCTCTCTCTCTGTGTCTTTCTCTCTTTCTTTTTCTTTTTTTTTTACTTTCTTCCTTTCTTACAATCTTGATTTCGACTCAAAGAATCCCTCGCGAAAAAGTGACTTTATTACTTCTTCTTGGATTATCTACTATTCTTTTTTCACTATGTGTGCCAAGGCATGTAAAATGTATTAAACGTTGATAAGTATGCAAGTGGATCGTATTAAAAGTAAAAAGGAAAGGGGTGGCTGGGAAGGGGGTGGGGTGAAGGAGGGAAGGGGAAAAGTTCAATTCCATTTAGCGCGATCTAATGTTTTTTATTTCTTTTTTTATTTTGTTCTTTTTTCCTTTCTTTCTTTCTTTCTTTCTTTCTTTCTTTCTTTCTTTCTTTCTTTCTTCCTTCCTTCCTTTCTTCTTTTTTTTTTTGCCGACAAAGTACGTATTATTATATTGATTTTCAATCTCTATCTGATACATATATACATTTTAATTGATAATAGAAATTAATATATGAAAAGTATTAGTTACAATTAAATTCATTACGTTCTTATTTTATTTATTATCGTATTTGTATTTATTTCTATTTTCTGTTCAAATTAATCTTAACTTGATAATAATTATAAACAAAGCTGAAAGAAATTTGATAATACGATTGGGAATTGTAATAATTATTCAATAATGTCAATATTATTTGCGATACATTTCTATGAGAGTATCGCGTACGAAAGAGAAAAGAGGAAAAGAGAAAATAAAAAAGAAAAGGAATGAAAAAAAAAAGAGAAGGAAACCAAGAAGAAGAAGAAGAAGAAGAAAACAAAAATAGAAAATAAAGAAGAAAAAAGACAAAACGAAAAGAGATATAGGTCTCGTTAGTAGAAAATCAATTCTTATCTCGTTCCGTTATTATACGTAATTAATAGAACTATGTATTCATCGTGTGTGCGTTGTCATGTGAACATATGTACAACGTGTACAAGAATCGGTGCTCGGAATGATAGTGGATGATACGTGTCCTCGAGGTCTCTATGGGTGAGGGTGAGATGCGAAAAGCTTTCGATTGCGAAACACGTGAAGGGAATCGAATTAACAAGGTTACCACGTTCGCCATTTAAACTGGATGTTGCCTAAAGGGGATTGTAAAACATAACAAAGCGTTTAGTCTTAAGATCGATTTATTCGTTACTAGTTTTATCTCACTTTTAATCGTACACTTTTAATTTCGATCAAATTAAATCAATTTCGAGAACTAAGAACATTTTTTTTCTAAATTACATTTAAAGTTATTTTTATTATATTAACGATTGAAGGTATACATACATATATATATATATATATATATATATATATATATATATATATATATAGATTATAACAAAATGGCGAAGTTTCTTTTTTCTTATTCTTAAATTTTTATCAAAATTAATATATTAAGTATAGTCGCAATTGTGCTAATCGATCCGTTATACTGTTGGTAATACCATTGTCGATAATACTGTTTGAAAAAGAATCCGTATAATAGAATAGATGAAATTAATTTAATCAACTCTCGAGTTTGTTCCCTTCATATTTTATGATATATTCTAAGTATCGTATTTTAATAGTATGTACGTAATTATTTTGTTTGTCCCCTTTCATTAGGTAAATTTTAATTTTTTTTTTTTTCCTACAGAGTTACGTCATTTGAGTTTATAAATTGAAGAGGAGTACTATTTATCTTTTTTTCCGTTTATTTAATTTAATTTCGTGTAGAAAATTTAAAATCGTGTAGAAAAAAGAGAAAAGAAAAATTGAAACCTAATTGAATCGATGATGATAAATAACGAAAGGCAAATAAAGATAGGGAGAGAGAGGCAAATAAAGAGAGGGAGAGAGAGAGAGAAAGAGAGAGAGTGGGGGGGAGAGGGGGGAGAGAGGGGGGAAATAGGAATAGAAAGACAAAATGAGAAAGAGAAAGAGAAATAAAAGGAAATCATTTTTTAATGAAACAAAATTTAGTTTATGATAGATTCTCGTCCTTTTATATCCATGTATGCATGTATTGATGTATATATGTGTGCCATTAAGAAGTATACAAAGTCATTTTAAACGATTGCAGGCGTGAAGCCAGTTCCCGGGCTGGAAAACCTGCCGAGGTCGTTCTGGCGTGAGCTCAGTTCACCCTTTACCGAGGTAAGTTTCGCGCACGGTTAAACTCGAAACGTGAAGTTGCCTTTCGGAATCGGGATGCCGATCTAAATTCGTTCCTCTCGTTTTCGACCTTTCAAAGAGCAACGTTTCTATACGCGTCTGTGGTTTTCGAAGGAGCGTTGACGTCATTTTGGTATGCATTTCATTCGTCGTTTTGTGCGAGGATCACTATTTCGAGTATCCATTTTGCGTAGATGCATATCTACATACCTATTTATAGATGTATGTATGTATATATGTATGGATGCATGTATGTATGTATGTATGGATGTATGTATGTATGTATGGATGTATGTATGCATATATATACGCTTAACGGCTGTTACATATCATATTAAAATTATTTTATCTTATTATGTCACATTCTTTTTTCATTGTTCCTAATTAACTCTTAAAAGTTATTAAATCATGGAAAAAAGTGTCTCCGTTTATTTTTTCATCGAAAAAAAAAAAAAAAAAAAAAAAAAGAGAAAAAGTTATTACTTTTTTCTTTCTTCTTTTTTCTTTTTTTCTTTTTACGCATTTTAGAAGAAAATTAAATTATTTAATTAAAGGCTTATTGGTGTTCTTTGATAATGGATATTCGTATATGAATATTATAGGAAATTGATTTTTACTGTAATTGGAAATAATAACGAAACAGATTGTAAGGATAAATATAAATTGATTTCATTTAGATTTTCCTTACGTTTTTAGGGTATAAAATTTTATTTATTGACGATTAATCTTTAAAATTTCATTAACGAACGTTAACAAAAGGAATAATAATTTTTTAATTGCTCGAACTCGCTTAATCAGAATTTTTAATATTTATGTCTCTTTCTTTTTATTACTTTTAACAATCGACGAATAAATTGGTCCAGTTTTCCTTCTTGTTGTTTACAAATTCATTGGAATAGAATTTTTTTTTCTTTTGTATCTGTTTTTCTACCAACTCGTAAGACTTGTGATAGTCGTCATAGATGAAAAGAAAAAACTTGATTCAATTTGTACATCTTTTCGAATTGATTAAACTCGAGTATTTTAATCTTCGTTTGTAAAACAACGTAACGTGTACTCTGTTATTTCCGATGTTTTTGAAGATTCTTTTTTTCTCTTTTTTTTTCTCTTTTTTTTTCTTTTTTTTTCTTTTTTTTTCTTTTTCTACGACATCACGTAGACGTGACCGCGATGGGTTTTAGTATGACCCAACCCCAGTCCCCTTTAACCCACCTCCCAGACCCCTTTTCTACCCGTTCACCTCGTTTTTCTCCATCACACTTTTACATTCTCAAGTGTCGTAAAGTTTTTCTCTCCTGCCGATACACTCTATCTTTTGCTTCGTCGTTACCGCGACCAAAGAGAAACGCGAGAGCGCTATCAAATAACTATCTCGCGTGAAAATCTTTGCACCCAGCCAACTCTCATCTTGCATATTTTTTATCTTCTTCCTCTTCTTCTTCTTCTTCTTCTTCTTCTTCGTCTGCTTCTTTAGTTTTTTTTCTTCTTTTCTTCTTTTCTTCTTTTTCTTCTTTCTTTCTTTTTCTTTTTACCCATCTCCCAATAGTCTCTTCATTGTCTACTTTTTTTTTTATCTTCTAATGTAAAATTTTTATCATATTTTTGTTCTATTTCTCTTTTCTCCTATCTTTTTTTTTCTTTTTCCTCTTCTTCTTCTTCTTCTTCTTTGTTTTTCTTAATTTTTAATCCTTTTTGAAATAATCACTTATGAATCGTTGCAAGGATCACATTTAGCTGCGCATACTATTTTCCATATGCTATTCTAATGCTCAAGCTTTTACACGTCCGATCTAATAAAAGAGAATTTGAAATTCGTTCGGTTGATTTGCCGATAATACAATTCAAATAATAAGATAAATGTATTGATAAATTTGCCGTACTTTCACGAATTTATTGGAAAATTATTGCGAACGTAATCTCGTGAGAGTTGAAAGGTCACCGACCTGAAATTCATTCGTACGATCGTGTAACCACAGCTGTCGGTCGATTCACGAATATCGAGCACGGTGAATTCAAAATGCGTGGTCGACTTGCAACGGTAAAGATCGTTTTACGGATCGTTTCTTTTTCTCTCGTATTTAACATTTCCTTAGTACGATTGTTTTAGATTTCAAATGGTTGAAAATATAGCGAGATGAAAATTGAAAAGCGAAATTCGAAATCATAAATGCGAACTCGAAAAAGCAAAAGCTTCCGTTATCACGATGGCTTCGACGAAACAAAAAAGAAAGAAAGAAAAAAAAAACGATTGCTTATCGAACAGCTATTATGCAAACGTGTTCGATGTAAATGACTGGGTGAAGTGAGAGCATTTTTTTTTCCCTTTGTTTTTGGACATTTTCTCTGCGAGCGTGAACGTAAACAGAGGAAACCCGGGGATAGTTTTTAAAGAGCTGACATCACGATTGATTCATTTTATTGACCTCGTTTAAAAGAGAGAAAGAGAAAATCAGGTCGGTCATTCTATCGTAATTGTATGTTTAAAACGAAGGAAACAGAGTGGAAATATTAAAGGAACGTTGTTCGATATAAATATTTTTTTAAAATATAAATTATACGATTAGAAAACGTATATGAAATACCTTGTACATTTGTATATGTTTTATTAATGTGTGTCAACGTGTTTGTTTGTGTGAGTAATTGCATTCGATTTAATTTCCAGGTGTACGAAGTGGACAATTTTGCCACTGAAATCGGTGCAACGCCCGAGCCAAGGCCGTTTTTCGAAGATCCTGAGAGCAACATTACAGTGCAGTTAGGAGCTCAAGTACACATGCACTGTAGAGTGCAGAATTTGCAAAAGAATTTGAAGGTAAGCGCGATGTGATTTTTCTTCATTTATTGATTCGTTCACTCATTCGTTTATTTATTTTTATTTTTATTTTTATTTTTATTATTTTTTTTTCTTCATTGATAAGAATTTATAGATCGTTTAAGTACTTTATTGTATTGATCATCGAAAAAATAAAAAGGAAAAAAAGTAAGCGAATAATATAAACGTAGAATTTAGAGAAAGAGAGGTGGAGAGAGAGAGAGAGAGAGAGAGAGAGAGAGAGAGAGAGAGAGAGAATCATAACTCTTTGAAGTTATTTCGAACATTTATTTTAAATGAAAACCACCGATGGTTCGTATAATATTTGATTAAAATAATTTTTAAACGACCGGGTATTTTACCTCGAAATATTGTTTTCAAAAATGTTGAACGCTTGCTACATTCATATTCATTCAAATTAATTTAAAATAATTTTGTTGTTGTAAAATTTTTTATGTTCGAGCTTTCATTTAGAAAATGAAAACTTTGAATAATTATTAAAATAGAAGGGACATTGAAATAAGAGTGTTAATCCATTCAAAGTTTTTAATTTATAATTAACATTTCATTTTGTAAAATTACGAATGTTGTTTAATTTAATTTATTTCATTCCTCTCATCACATTTTGTCACATTTATTTATTTTAAAAGCGTTCATCTTCTTTTCTACCATCCTTTCAAGACCTTATTGGCTTCTCAACACCCAACACTGTAATCTTATGTCCCTTATCTCTCTTTCGACGTCAACGTGAGCGCGAGCACATAACTTCCCGAATTCTCCCAAAGTAAATTCCAGTAAATCCTGGTTGAAAATATTTCCCATGTTAATTCCGTGGTTTCAACGTATTATCATAGCAAACATGTATGTATTATATTCTCATTTTTCTTTCTCATAGTAAACCAAATTTTTATATTTATCTGAAAGTGTTGCTTCAAATTTTAAACAAATTTTTTCGATTAATTTGAAAATTTTATTCTGTCGTATATATATATATATTTAATATGAATATTTAAAAATTTAATTGTAATATAAATGACATATTTATGAATTATTTATCGAATATTGATTTCCTTTATTATATTTCTTTCCTTTTCTTTTTTTTTTTTTTTTTCGTACAATCAAGAAGATTCGCGAGATTTTGTAAAAAAATAAAATGTATTCGATACTTCTTGTTTGTTTATTTGTCAATAATCGTATATTTTATGAAATACGAAGTTTAAAAATTGAATTATATTAAAAAATTAATATCTACATGGATAATATTGCAAAACGCGAGATGGAGATCTCAATTTTTTGATACAATATTGTAAAGTTCTAGAATATCATTACAAAGGTACATAATCATTTATATTTTTCCGATGACTATAAGATTTACAGATTAATGGTAAATAGGAAAATATTGTTTGGAAAATACAAAATTCGTAGAGAGAAAAGCGTCCCAGGAAATGTCGAACATCATTTCGTACGATATGAAAACGTAATCGTATACATTATATATATATATATATATATATATATATATATATATGTGTGTGTACACTGCATTTATCTTATAGTTATGTCCATAAATCGTTGTCAGCATTTACTAATCCACAGGAAGCTTGCCACGCTTTCGAAGCTGTCTACGAGCGACGAACGTGAAACGTTTTGCTCGTTCGCCGTAGTGGTCCTCGGAATTCAATCTTTCTAAGTGGGACAACGGTAAATCGACCAAACAAGTTGTTCCGTACGGTTAGACGAGAGATAGAGAGAGATAGATAGAGCGATAGAGAAAGAGAGAGAGAGAGAGAGAGAGAGAGTATAACGCCTGCATTCGCTGGAGTGTTTTCAACGGCATCGACATACTCTTCTTTCGCTTTTAAAATGATCATCGTCGAGTGACTTTGGATTTTTCGAGGAGCCGAAGCCATAGCTAGCCTCTTGTTGTTTGCGTGAAATCTATGAAAGTCATTTTTTCATGTGTACCGCACGTCACGTTCGTTTTTTCTTTTTCTTTTTCTATTTTTTTTTTTTTGTATTTTTTTTGTATTTTTTTTTTTTTTATTATTTTTATTTTTTTTTTATTTTGTTATGATAGATATTTCTCATAATATGTTCGACGTAATGTTTCGGGCATGATTCATGCAGCAACGTAGTCCTTGAGAAATGTTCATTTTCTTTCTTTCTTTCTCTCTCTCTCTCTCTCTATCTCTCTCTTTCTCTTTCTTTTTATGTTAGAGCAAGAGAACGTCATTGAGATAATATAAAATCCATTTTCTACGATAAATCCAATTTTCGAAGGCTCGCGCGTGTCCTCTTCCGAGTCAGTTCAAGGAAAACCTCCAGCACCACATGGACGACGAGGAGGTTACTTGAAAGTTTCCTACGAATTTCCAAGTTCGTTAACTCTAACAAAGCGAGCGTTTGTAACGTTGCTGCGATCAATAATGTTAATAAGAAGATAACTTTAACTAGTTCCATGCTGGAAGGAGGACCAAGCAGGAGCTTGTTGTTGTTCCAGGCGTTTTGTTCCCTGACAACTACGAAAGAGAGTTTCCAACACGTAAATACACGTGCAGGTAATACGTTATAACACTGTGGAAACTCGATCGTGTTTTAAGGAAGAAAGATCGAAACTCGACGTTGTCTTATTATCGATACTGACAATGAATCTTCGAATAGTTACATCAGTTTAGGGTTGATATACTTACGCATACGATTTCTCGTTAGAAGATGGTGAAACTTTTTGGTCTCGTTGTAACCATGCTTTCTACCACTAAGAAAGAAACTTTTTAACTCGATCAATTTAATTCCTTGCTCTTTCTTTCTCTCTGCTCTATCTTTCTCTTTCTATTTCTCCCTCTCTTTTCCTTTTTTTTTCTTTTTATTCTCTCTCTCTCTCTCTCTCTCTCTTTCTCTCTCTCTTTGTTTGTCTCTCTTCCTCTTTTTCTCTCTCTCTCTCTCTTCCAAACTTCTCTTCCATGGTTCTGCAATCAGTTTAACGAGTAAGCCGCGACGACGCTAATTGTGAACGAAGAGAAACGGCCTCGAATTATTTCCGTACATACGCGCGAGTCGAGTTTGTTTATCCTGCAACTAAGTTATATTCTCTGTTTCGTATATAGCAAGATGTAATAATAAATTAAATTTCCAATTATCGAATTAACTTTTCCATTTTCATATTGACATTTTTTTCTTATATATTATATGATTATTATTAATATCATTTATTATATATGTGGTATTTCATGATATTCGAGGCGATCAATAAAAAGAGGAAATTTTTCTCTTTACAATAGTCCTCGTTTCACGTTTCTGTGATACTTCGTTTAGGAGATATAACTTTTTGAAATATTTCCATTTATAATTCGTAATAAATCTCTGCGTAGTATTACGATGATAAAAAGTATTTACATTATCCAGCTGATCGGTAGCGTAAATTCCAGGAATTTATTATATAGGTCACTGTATCAATGCATTAATGAATTTATATAGGTCACTGTATCAATGCATTAATGAATTTATATAGGTCACTGTATCAATGCATTAATGAATTTATATAGGTCAATGAATCAATGAATCTATCTTTTATTTATATGAGTGTATCTCGTGAATTACTACTAGTAGTAGAAATTTCAAACGAATATCAATTTAATTGGCAAACTTTTTTCTATTTTTTGTTTTTTCGCGATATTCATATTTTTGCAATAATTTGTTATAAATAATTTGTTGTTATAAATAATTGTAAAAATATTTTTCATTTTTTCGAGAATAACTTGTTAACCATTAAAAATATTGTTTTGTTGCATAATCAATCTGTTGAAACAATTTGTTATAAACAGATTTATCATGATTTGTTATAAACAATTTTTCATATTTTCGAAAGTTAGTTATAGAATCTTCAAAATATTGTTCTTTTTTTTCGTTTAACCAATTTATTTAACAATTTATTATAAAAAATTTGTATACACAATTTGTTATAAACAATTTGTTATAAACAATTTTATTTCGGAGTAAGGTAAGTTGTTTTTTCTTTGTTCTAACAAATTGATTATAAATAATTTTATATAAAAAAATTTTTATATCTTCGGAAATATATTATAATCTTAGAAAAAATGGTTTTTCTTTTGAATTTGCTTCTGAAAATGCTTCTTTTTTCAATTTGCTCAACAATTTATTATAAACAATTTTTAAAAATAATTTGTTAAAAAAATTTTTCATAAGTAATTCATAAACGATATATTCAAAAATAATTTATAAATTCTTAGAAAGATTGTTTTTTTCTTTCAATCAATTCGTTTATCAATTTATTAGAGAAACAAATTTTTACGAATAAATTTTTCCAAAAACATTCCAACATTTCACACGTTTATACACCATATACAATAGCTAGATGTTTCTTTCCATGAACATTTTGCTGATGCAGAATATTCGGTTAGAGCGTTTTTTGAAGGACATAAATAGCACCTTGAGAAGCCTACGAATGGTATAGAAACGTTCCTAACCGAGGCGTGTAACACAAGGACGTTCTTTTGAGAGTGTGAGTAAGTGAGAAAAAGAGAGAAAGAAAAAGAGAGAGAGAGAGAGAGAGAGAGAGAGAGACACTACGAACCGGCTGGCTCGAGGGCTCTTAAAAGAAAAGATACGAGCGTAAGGCTACAGTAAAAAAGGAGTAAGAGAGAGAGAGAGAGTGAGTAAGAGGGTGAAGAAGGAGTAGAGAAGAGAGGTTGGAAAGCGCGTCATCGCACCCCGCTTAAAGAGGGATTCGGTATCTGTGTTTGTCGGCGGATTAATTTAAGCTCAGGGCCACTTTTACGTAGAACCTATCTTCAAAGTTCTCCTCGTTTTATTTCCTGACGGGAGGACGTCGTCGCTTTCAGATTTGTCATATTCTACTTTTTCTTCTTTTTTTTCTTTTTTTTTTTTGTTTCTCTCTCTCTCTCTCTCTCTGTCTTTTTGTCTCTTTCTTTTTTTGTGTTACAAAAGATTTTGTCTTTTATCAAGAAACAAAGAGAGAGAGA